GCATGAAAGCCAGTTGGGTGACTTTGGGCCAATCACCAGGAGACGGGGAGTTCTAGTCCTATCCTAGGTACGAAGGCCAGCTGGGTGACTTGGGCCAATCACCAGGAGACGGGGAGTTCTAGTCCTGCCTTAGGCATGAAAGCCAGCTGGGTGACTTTGGGCCAATCACCAGGAGACGGTTGGTTCTAGTCCCGCCTTATGTACGAAAGCCAGCTGGGTGACTTTGGGCCAATCACCAGGAGACGGGGAGTTCTAGTCCCGCCTTAGGCATGAAGGCCAGCTGGGTGACTTTGGGCCAATCATCAGCCAAGTTCGGATAGCACCAAGGACTCCGCAATCCCAGAGAGCGTGAAGGGCCCTGTCAGGGTTCCGGCAGTTATTCATTTTGTATACATGTTTTATAGTTGACCGCCCCCACACCCCTTCTTCTTCTCTGCATACTCCCCTCCCTCCTACTTCTGATGATGTTAGCTAGTTGGGTCATGAAATGTCTGCAAGAAAACCACCCTGCTCAGAGAACATCAACGACTCCACAGTTCTAGATTATGTGAGCTACAAATATCTGAGCTACAGATATTTCTCTTTTATAAGATTTAGTGAATATAACCTTTCTTGGGGAAACTGCTCCATAAACAGGGGGCGCAAGGCGGAGAAAAAAAATGGCCGAATGCATGTTAAGTCCTTGACTTACGACCAGAATATGTGTTGCTAAGTGAGACATTTGAGTTGAAGTGAGTTTTGTCCCATTTCACGGCTTTTCTTGCCACGTTTCTTAAAATGAATCACCGCAACGTTGTTAAAGTAGTAACTCGGTTGTTAAGTGGATCTGGCTTCCCAGTTGACTTTGCTTGTCCGGTCACAAAATGGGAACACATGATCCAGGGGGGGACACTGCAACCGTCGTAAATATGAACCAGTTACCAAGCCTCTGAATTTTGATCACGTGACCATGGAGCAAGAGCCATTGGTGGGAAAAAAAAAATGGTCGCAAGTGCTGTTGTAATTTCCAGTGCAGTCGTAACTTCGGTCAACTAAACAAACTGTTGTAAGTCAAGGATGACCTATAACCGTTTGGGGAGGGACTGGCGCCGATACCATGCCATCCAGCATTTTCCGTGAATTTGGCTCGGTGGCGAAGAGGCCGAGCTTGTCGATCCGAAAGGTTGGCAGTTCGGCGGTTCGAATCCCTAGCGCCGCGTGATGGAGTGAGCTCCCGTGACTTGTCCCAGCTTCTGTCAACTTAGCCGTTCGAAAGCATGTAAAAGAAATGCAAGTAGGAAAATAGGAACCATCTTTGGTGGGAAGGGAATAGCCTTTTGTGTGTCTTCGAAGACGTTGAGTCCTGCCGGCCACAGGACCACGGAGACGTCTTCGGACAGCGCTGGCTCTTCTTCGGCTTTGTGTCGGAGATGAGCACCGCCCCCACTAGAGCCGGAAAAGATACGCAAGAGGCACCTCCACCTTACTTTAGGGTCTACGCCAAAAGCGTCCATCTTTGGCAACTTTTAAGACTTGTGGACTTCAACCCCCAGAATGCCCCAGCCCAGCCATGCCTGTTTCTTTTTCTTACCCCTTAAAGCGGGAAGATTGCAGAGGAAGGGATTACAAGAGAAGAAAAGGACACGGTGGCTCAGGGGCTAAGACGCTGAGCTCGTTGATCAGAAAGGTCGGTGGTTCGGCGGTTCGAATCCCTAGCGCCGCGTCACGGAGTGAGCTCCTGTTCCTTGTCCCAGCTTCTGCCGACCCGGCAGTTTGAAAACATGTAAAAAAAAAAAATGCAAGTAGAAAAATAGGCTCCACTTTGGTGGGAAGGAAACAGCGTTCTGTGCGCCTTCGGGCGTGCCGGCCATAGGACCACGGAGATGTCTTCGGACAGCGCTGGCTCTTCTTCGGCTTTGCGACGGAGAGGAGCACCGTCCCCTAGAGCTGGAAACGACTAGCGCGGATGTGTGAGGGGAACCTTTTACCTTTATTGTACCGTTTAAATAAAGTATTTCAGTTGTGCAACGCTCCACCGACTGTAAACATAACAAGAGACGCAGGCTGCTGCTTATTATTGTTTTATTAGGGATGACTTTTCCACGGTTATCCTTTGCCGGAATAACGGGTGGATTTCCAGGTTGAACCAGTGTGCTCTTCATTTTTTTTTTCTTTTTTTAACAAACAACATTCACGTCAACACAGATAAGAAATATTTTCTTTTTTCTTTTGCCAAAGGGGCATTAAATCCATAACTCCAGCACCCGTGAGCACCATTTAGCACCCCAAATCTTCCTTTCTGTGCATCTTTTTTTGGGTGTGTGTGTGTGGTGGGTGGGAGTGGGGTCTATTTCTAAAGCGAATCCTTTAGGACCTACTGTCTCCTTCCTGGTTTTTGTAAAACTTGAATCAGTGCTGAGTAGAAAATTAGCTTTTGCTAGCAAAAGAGGAACCAACGTTCTCACAACACCTTCAAACATTTGCTCGAAGCAACGCGGCGGGAGGAACCTGCTTAAAAAAAACGAAAAAACACCACAAAGTGTGAATTTGTGATTTTTTTTCCCCCTTAAGTGTGTTAAAAAAAAAAATAAGTGTGCAAGGAACCAGATTTTTTTTTTTTTTTAAAGGGTGTGGACGGGGCCCGGGCAAACATGAATATATTTAATATAAATATAATTCTCGGGGGCGAGATAAGGACCCCCTCGGTTAAAACAATTCCGATTGACAACATTGGGGGGTGGGGTGGGTTTAAATTGGTGTTCGGTGACAAAACTAAGAAAGAGGACATTGTGCCAGGAAGAAATGGTGCATAAATTTAGTTGGAAGATTTGATTAAGGGAGGCGAGGGAGGTTTCACCAGAATGGATGTTGAGCGGAGAAGAGATCAATTGCCTTGCAATTTCGATTTGTTTTTCAATTTTGGATCTCCGGCTGTTCTGGGTTCTAGAACAGGGTTTCTCAGCCATAGCCGCTGGGAGACAGGTGGCCTTCCGACTCTCAGAATTGAGAGTTGGCTGGGGGTTTCTGGGAGTTGATGTCTTAAAGTTGCCAAGTTTGGGGACTCCTGCCTTAGAAGAAAGCAGCCATAAAACGTACGATCCTGGGATTAAAGAAAATGGCGTTTCCTTCTTCAGCAACGCCTTGGCATGTTTGGATCCATCCATGTCGTTTTTTTTTTTTAAATGATGCAATTCTAATTTTTCGGGTCTCTCCTGGCTGCCTTTTCACTCTTAAAACTCCAAACTTTGCACCTTTAAGGCTTGTGGACTTCAACGCCCAGAATCCTCCCCCAGCTAGCCATGAGAATCCTGGGAATTGAAGTCTATTCATCTTCGAGTTACCCCGAAGGTTGAAAAACTGTGGTTTTTAAGAGAAAGGGGGGAGCAGAGACTCCCAAAATGCTCTGCAGCTTAGGGGAGAGCTCATAAGACAGGTCTCCAAACTTGGCGCCTTTAAGACTTGTGGACTTCAACTCCCAGAATCCCCCAGCCAGCCGTGTTTGTTTCTTTTTCTCTTACCAGCTAAAGTGGAGAGAGATTGCAGAGGAAGGGATTACAAGAGAGTAAGCTATGCTGGCTGGGGAGAATTCGGGGAGTTGGAAGTCCGCAGGTCTTAAAAAGTTGCCAAGTTTGGGGACCCCTGGCTCATCAGATGGATGAGCGACCTTTCAAGTCAAGGGTCTTCCAACTTGGCAAGTTTTTAAAGGCTTGTTGGACTTCCAGCTCCCAGAATTCCTCAGCTAACATGAACGGAGGAGGAATTCTGGGAGTTGAAGTCCACAAGTCTTAAAAGCTGTCAGGTTTGAAGACCCCTGGCTTAAGTCAAATAAAACCACGTCCTGTAAATCTGAGCAAGAAAGATCCTCTCCATAGATCGGCCTTCTTAATCGGCTTTCTGCAACTGTCTTAAAATTCTGTCCTCAAGTGAGATTGGAACTATCGTGGTGTCCCAGCTTTGACAGGGTGACTTAGCGATGGCCGTGCAACCTGCGAGAAACCTCACCTAGCCAGCCAGCAACCTCCAAACGACGGACGGCCTCCTCTCACCTCACTTCCTGACTTGCTTTGGCCAAGTATCTCAAAACCACAGATATCAGGGAAGGTAGAGCAGCATTAGAACCCAAGACACACCTACCAGTTATCCGGAACCCCTTCTTTCTCTGCTGCCAGGAGCAGGCCTCTGAGCCTGCCCCCCCTTCCTCCAGCTTTGGAGGGGGGGGAGGCTCCAACACCCCGGATCCAGTGGCCCCAGTGGCTTAAGAGAGGGGCTCTCAAAGTGGCCAGGTTTGGAGACCTTCTGTTTTAAGATGTGTGGACTTCCAACTCCCAGAATTCTCCCGGGCCAGCATAGCTTACTTACTCT